CAAATTGTTCTCAAGGTAAGTAAATACAAAAATATGCAAGGATCCCATAATAATTCTATCGTATACATCCTATTAAAAAGAGGGAAAGACTGGGAACCAGCACCACGATCGGTAAAAGATTCAAAAAAGTATATTTCCATTTCAAGAAAGATCATGTCCAAATTAGTAAAAAAAAATTGGTAAAGTGACCTATGGTCAAAATATGATCAATTGTTTCCTTTCCTTACCCAGCCACTTGTGAGAAGAATTGTTCAGATCACGGGGTGTGTTTTGCACCAGACCAGTGCAGATGTGAAGAGGGATACACCAGACCAGATTGTTCTCAAGGTAAATAAATACAAAATTATGCAAGGATCCCATAATATTAGCTGTTCCGAGGTTGAGGGAAAAACTTGGTCGAGTTTACATTATAGTGCATTGTGGGAATGTTTTAGCGGGCGAAAAAAACCCAACTTGGAAATATGTCCCCTAAATCAGCCGCACAATGCACTGCAATGCAACTCGACCCAGTTATTCCCTAAACCTCGGAACAGGTAATTCCTATCGTATGTTAGCCAACTAAACTTTAGGATTCAGGTCACGCGTACGTGAATACCTATTCTAGCCAAACAAACCTTAGCATACGTAAAAAGAAATTATAAAAGAATATAGACCCCTTTCACTGAGTCCCAAGAGGAATTGTTCTGGGGACAAAACAATGGATTTTTTTTGCATTAGAATAGACGGTCAGAATATTTTTTAGTACATATTAACACATATTATATCTGAAAACCAGGCCATTTTAGATTAAACTGTTTCACTAGGAGCAAATTTTGTTGAATTTTCTATTGGATTTGGCGATTCTATCCCCCACATAAACAAGCAGTGACGTCATATTGAAATTGGGCAATTCCTTCAGGAATAACGCAGCGCAACCGTGACGTCATAAAAACGAAGACAAAGGCGAAATTCGGACAAACAAACTTACAAGTTTACTTTCAGCAGATAATTTTCACAGGCGATCGCAGTAGATCTTAGTTTACATGGGTTATTATTGTAACTTTAAGTAAAAATAATAAAATCGGTTCGTATAATCCTCGTAGCGGTTAAACAGAATGCAATGTTTGTCCGAATCTTTAAGCTATTTTTAGAATCAGTGCGCTGCGCTATTCAATGCAAGGAGTCTATAGCTGGAAAATCGAGAGAATCTCGTCACCTCGCAACGATAACATCACGTCACCTCCAGCCCCTCTCAGGCCAAGGGAGCACGGCAGATATAAATTTGTTGATTGGTCTTCCTGTGGTACATAATTTCATTGATTGGTCCTCCTGTGGTATAGAGGCGCATGCGGTTACTTAAAAGTCGCGCGGGCTCATACGTAAACAATATGGCGGATGATAAATATAAATGACGGGGAGTGAAACTATGATCATGTGACCGGGTATCGGCCAATCAGCATCAGGAAATTACCAACGTACTTTGTAGCATGCTCATCACGGTGTTTTGGGCCAGCTGTTTATCGTGAAAGCCTAGCATTAGCATAAATTAGCAATTAAAACAGCCTGGAAGATAATTTATTTAAAACATTTGCATACCGGAAACCAAAATGTCTTCACTTTTAATGATGCTTTGTCTGGGTTAGTCAAACAAAGGCTTTTTCTTCAGTTAGTATTGGATTTAGTGTGTTTTATATCATGAAATGCAGAGAAACTTTTTTATTGAAGGAAATTATTAAAGAGGAGAGAAAGAAAGGATGTCAATTTACATTCATTTTTTGGCATTGCTACCGAAAAAATCCAAACACGGAATAATTGTTGCCTTCAAAGCAAATAAAGAGGCCGTAAAAAGGATTTCCGTGTGTTGGTTACTAATGATAGAATTTTAATCGTCTTGTCAGTCGTAAAAACTTGATTTTATTTTAGCGTAAAAGGCAACAGCAAGCCTTTGTCTTTTGGCGAATAAAAATTACTTCAATTACAATTATAAAAGTAGATTTTAATACATGTATAAACGATATTCGTCTGGAAATTATTAACAGCCTTAGTATAAAGCTATAAAGGCAAAGAACAGGATGTAAATACAAAAAAGCAAAAACAAAACAAAACAAAACAAAACAAAACAAAACAAAAAAACAATGAAGCACTAAAAGTACGAGGTCGATCAATCAACAATTTAAGTTATTTCGTTTTCAAGAATTCAAATATTTACTGGAATTGCATATTTACACTAAATACTTTTGAAAATTGTATCTAGAACTTACAGAGTTATCAGAGTAACTTATCCTTCAGCTGTGTGATGAAATCGTTTTCGAAATTGTGGATTTGAGGAGTTTTTGAAGCTACAGTATTATCAGCCTGAAAGATCGCTAATCAATTTCACTTTGAAGTCCCAAAATTCGCCAAGATGTGAACTTGCGGCGAACAAACTGTTGAAGTTTCGAAAAACCAAAGAGAAAATAGATGAAATACCCATTGACCGAGTCGACCTGGGCGCATACATTAGCAATAATTTAGCTCATTAACTGGCCCTGGCAACCCAAGTGGCCCTGGCAACCCAAGTGGCCCTGGCAACCCAAGTGGCCCTGGCAACCTGACGTAGCATTGTCGAAAAGTTTGAAAAAGCTGCATTCCCCGTCAATATTATATATGCCGCCATCTTTGATATTTACTTGAGCCCACGCTATTTTTCGCGGATAACCGTATTCGTCAGCATACGTCATTACCACAGGAAGACCAATCAACAAATTTATGTCTGCCGTGCTCCCTTGCTCAGGCCTGCTTACTTTTCGGTCAAGAGAAATATAATAAATTTTCCCTCGTGTACACGACACGAGGAATCCCGCTTGATGTCAAAGCAAAACTACTCACAAATGCCGGCTCTCAAATGCACAGAAAACATCGCTTTAGGACAAGTTATAGACCAAAAACCAAAAAATATTTTCACGTAGTCAAAGATGGATCAAGAAGTGTTCTTTAAGAATTCAGGTGTGTGTTTTTAGCAAACAATCGTATATTATTTGTTTTTTTGGACAAGCATTTTTCTCGACGAATCAACAAAACAAAGACTTTCTATCAAAACTTTTTATATTTCTATAGATAAGCTTAATTTATTTTAATGCTGGAGGAAATATAACACGGAGAGCATATTACGACAACAAATATTCGTCCTTTATTTTAATAGCTTTGTAAATCTTTAACAATTCGGTTGTTTTTGACCAACTATTGTATGTTTTTCGTTCAAGAAAAATGAAGCTTTGCTCGCCTCCTATCAACGGGGTCCTATCGGCAAAACAAAGTAGACTTTCACTCAGTAATTTTATATCTTTTTACAGATAATTTATTTAATTATTGAATGAAATAAAAATTTTATCAAATATTCAACTGTTTATAAAGCTGTTCGAGCAAGTATGATTAGAAAAATGAGCTTAAATTTGTGTTGTTGAGAGATGTTATTACTGCCAATTTACTGACAAAGAAATTAGTCATTTTGTATTTTGCATTGCCTTTTGCATTATTTTCTATTTTGTCTCAGTTGTTGTCAAGTTTAAATGAATGTAAGCTTTGTTTTTGGAAAACTGTAAAAGACCTAATTAAGTAAACCTTATTTTTTGCTCACCTTAAACCAGTTTTCAAGTCTGTTTTTGAGTCTTGATTTGCCCTAAATCTCCAGATTTTCGATTTCCTTGAAAGACATCCGAGGTAAATTTCACTAAACTTGATATTGTATTTGATTATCTGTAGTTATCTTTCGTTTTTTTAAGTAAAAGAGATTCAAAGCCTAAAACTGTCGGCCTTGTAGAAACTTTGTCGAAGAATCTTCCAAGAACAAAACTAGCCCCTGGGGGTGGTGGTGACTTATGTACGAAATTCCTAAGTGGGAGAGTATACTCGCGCAAAGAAAACAAAAAAACAATGAGGTGCATTTCGATTCGATTTCACTGCATGGTTTTTATTATGGGAGAAATTATCTTCATCTCGAATAAAAAATAATTGAAAGTTTTTTCCCCGATCTCATTTTTACCTTTCAGTTTCATTCAAATTGTTCTCCCTGTGACTTCCGTATCGGGAGCTCCGCTTTTAGGCAGTGCATAAATATATTTAAAAAACTCATTAATAATTCATGAAGGAAACACAATAGAAATCATGACCATGAAGGAGGTTTTATATCTGACATAGATTCGTCTTCATTTGCATAAACTTTAACTTGGATTTTCTCTATCAAACATGGTTCATTTCGTAAAGAATTCGGTACAGTATGAGAACATACATCTGGAGTTTTTTAAGCCGTTTAATAAACTCGCAGATCGTGTTTTATCGGGTCTAAAACCACTCGGCTGCGCCTCGTGTTTTATACCCGATAAAACACTCCTGCTCGTTTATTAAACAGTACATATTAAATTAATTTTGACTTCAAAGTACGTTAAAGTCGACTCCAAAGCATTCCTTCATAGCCATCAGTTTTTAGCTTTCATTTAATATAAATGGCCCGACGAAACGCTTAGTTATTACTCACCTTACTAAAGATATGAAGATTTGAAGATGTGTACCAAGCTTGCTCTAAAATGAAGGCACAATGAGCTCTGACTAATTTCGAAACCTCCTAATGCTTGCTCGGCTGATAAAAGTTTTTGAATCTTATTATATCTGTTCACACTGACCACCATGTGCAGTCAGCCTGAAAAAAATCTATTGAAAACCTCTGATTCAGCTGATGAACATTCTGCACGAGACAGGATATAATAGACCTTTTTGCTTTATCGGTATTTTCGAAATCCATGCACCCTAGAACAAAGAGTGATAATTATTTGCCCGTGGAATGTGGTTTTCTTTGTTACGATATAGCACTTCGTACTATAGGGTGCGTACTGGTTTTTTTTGAGTGCAATGTGTTACGCAAATACGCATTTTATTGGTTTATATTGTCATTTTTGAAAATATTGATGCTGTTCGGCACTGCCGACCATCAATATTGTGAAGAACAAAATATGCTTTATGCCTATGCCTTGACTCTGAGGTCTTGCCGTGTACGAGCAGAAGAAATATTGGACTTCAGTTTATTATTCACGATGCTTCTTGTTTGTGGAGATGTTGGAGGGGAGCTAGACGTTTTAGAAAGACTATTTCCAGATTTAAGAGGGCACAGGCGAAGAGGAAATGACGTATGGTCTGAGCTACTCAATATACCACCTTTATTTTGGCATCTGACTGGTGAGACGCCAGAGACGTTTGAAGGACTATATCAGACAGCATATCCTTGGATTATCCAACCAAGAGACCCCAGGTTCAGCATGTAGGTCTACCAAGGCGTATTCGACCAACCTTGCTTAATCCAAGAAATCGTCTTTTGGCTGCATTAATATGGTTTAGACAGTATGTAGAGAAGAGCTGGTTTGTGCACTATTTCAGATAAGCGTAGCAACAGTGACGAAGTTCATCACATCATTCCCATAGCATGGTACATCCTAAGAGATCAAATTCGATGGTCAAATGCTGCCGAGTGGGCAACATTTAGGAATAGCTGGGATACTTTTCCTAATGCAGTGGGTGCTATAGACTGTACCATACATCGAATATGGAGACCATCTGTGAGGCAAGCGACCTATTATCGTGCCGATAAGAAAACACATTTCTTGGCTACCATCGTCATCGTTAACACAGACGGGCTTCCTGTTTACGTAAGGGCAGAGTACGTATTATCAATGCGTAACGGACGTACATGAAAAATGAACAAAAGTCTACAAGGTCTACAAACCTCGCCTAAAATATCATTTTTCAATAGTGCATATTTAACGACATATACGCTAGATGCCCGCGCAATTTCTTCGCATCGATTTTCGATTAGTTTTGTGTGCGTACACTGTACGCTAATGACGTCATTCCATGCACTTGTCCCTCATTTTTACCGAAGTATATCTTTTTTATAATTGAGGGAATAAAGAATATTCGTAGAAACCGTCCATTATAAAGCTTTCTTTCGTCCAAACACCGTACAAGTGCTCGTTCACCAGGGTTTACGCATATCAATTATATCTTAAACAAAGAAAACCACATTCCACGGGCAAATAATTATCACCCTTTGTTCTAGGGTGCACGGATTTTGAAAATACCGATAAAGCAAAAAGGTCTAATGCAATGATGTGTGTGAAAACATTAAGCAATAGCAGAAGTTCATAACTTCTGGCAATAGGCCTCCTCTCGGCTTTTTATTTCAAACCACTTGTCATTCCCTAGAGTATCATTTATAATTTGTTCAACGCTAGCGCTAGAAGGCACATAAATATTGATATGACTTAAACAAAGAATCTTATTCTCAAGGGAATGATCGTGGTCTGAAATGGGAAATAGGATGATCTTGAGGGAGAAGGTAAGGAGAGGGGAAATAAGGGATGGCCTAATATTGCTTCCATACAAAGCCTTGCCCTACCCTAACTTCATTCTATCACTCAAATATTAAATAAATTGATAGGGCCTTTTTGGTATAATTATGAAAAGTCTCCCTCCCTCTCTCCGTTTCTCCCTACATCCTTCTCTCCTCTTCCCTCTGTACGTTCCTTTCCATTTCTGTATCGAAATAGCAACCAAACTCGGGGCTTAAATATGTAGTTTAAGAATTTCTTATTGATTTCCTCAGATTCTACTGTAAACACAAATCCTGGAGACGCCAAAAACCTGGCTGCTATCGTAGGGGGCCCCGTAGGCGGTATGATATTTCTTCTTCTAATTATTCTACTCGTTGCCAGGGTTTCACGAGCTCGTAAAAGGGCAGCTGTTCACAATGGTGAGTGAATATAACAATATCCAAAAACTTCCTCGGCCTCCCAATACTAAAATCTTGATAAAGTTATTGTATTATTATATTTTAGTATAATTTTAGAATTGAATATAGCGTTTCTCGAGCTGTGATTGGTCGAGAGCGACCAGTGATTCTGAGACGATAATCACTGCTGGAGCGGTGATTATGAGGTTTTCCAGATCGAAAGTAATACTAAAACGTTTTCTTATCTTTTTTATCCTGAATTTCGACTTTTCTCTGATAATCAAGTCTACATTATGCTAAAATAATTATTCCCCTCAGGCTCAGTGATTATGGTGATATTTATAATAAATCTATAATAATATGTTTATAATATGCAACCGATAATCAATTCGCCTTTGGCGAATAATTGTTAAATAATGTTAAGCTTAACAATTAAGAGGATTTTTTTTCAATAACGAGCAGTAATGGCAAAAAGCGCCAAAAACTAGACATTCATATGAGTTTTGATTCCAATTTTCGTTTTGGGTTAACACTCAAAACCTTTTTTAAACAGTTAGAAACTGATGTACTATGATAAAATGCCTGTTCGAAGCGGCATTTTCAATCGTACAAAGATGTTTTGTTGCATTTAGGGTTTTTTATAGAAAATATATGGGAAATAAGCAAATGAAGGCCTAAACCTCATTTGAACCTGCTTGGATACGAATAGAATTCTCTATTTGTCACTACTTACCACTAATAAGGTTTTAAYAGGCATTTCTTCTCAACAGAAAACATCACGGAAAACGATCATAACAAACTTATCGAAAATGCAACCGTTGACAATGGTGAGCCAAGAAAAAAAACAAAAACAGATTCCAAAAACTTTATGAGCACTTATTAAACGACTCTTTTCTCGACAGCTGAAATTCAGGAATGCGTATACAACAATCCTACTTTTGCATATGGCTCTTTGTGTTAAAAACACGGAGACCAGTATTACAAACACTATAAGTGTGCAACATAAATACCTCTAAATACTTCTAAATTATGCTAATCCTGTTGTTTTCTATTGTTTAATTAGCACTATTTACTACTAAATAGTGCAAGGTGTTGCACACTTTTAGTGTTTGTACTCTACGAGTGCTTGGAAAAGATACAGTGATTAGATGAATAGTGCGGGAGCAGTGGAACAGGTGGAAATCCATTTCAATGATATGGCGTGTTACGTTTCCCCTCAAACCGAAAGTTCACAGTATGAGACTATAAATAAAGAAAAAACTTTGTATGCAATTGTTATTATTATTATTAGGTTTTAAATTTATATTTAAAGCTCTGTTAAATGGCGCAATCTAGCCTTAGTGGATCTAGGGGAGCGTTGCTTCTCGTCAAACAGTCAACGGGACCATGATAATTAAAAGATAAAATATTGATAATAATAATAATAATAATAACAATAATAATAATAGTAATAATAATAATAATAATAATAACAATAATAATAATAATAATAAAACAATANTAATAATAATAATAATAATAATAATAACAATAATAATAATAATAATAAAACAATATTTTGGGATAATCTGTACTCTATAGCCAATACTTTTTTTTGAAAAAAAAATCATTCACTGTCATACGATGATTGGAAACATTTTGACCAACATTGCACAGCACGATACAATACAATCAATAGTATTTTRAATTAGAAATAAACCAAGGTTGCCCGTCGATAAAGCCAATTTGAAGAACGAACATGTGATAAGAGTAATAATAATATGCTAAGAGACCTTTTTTTTTGGATAGACGCTTCGATTAATACGTTCAATTAACGAGTTAAAATCAATGTTAAAAGACAACCGAAAGTGGAGTAAGAGTTACAGAGAGGTGACTCTTGAAGCACAGGAAGCGCATAAAGAAATGCGCAGTAAAAAGCAACATGGATACGCACTCCATGGAACTCGTAGACAAATTTAATTACTTATCTAAGGTGGCTCGAGGGGATTTTCTTGGCGTGCTACCTTTTAACTTCGAATCGCAAATACGCTGCGGATACATACAAAGCAATGGTTTGATAATAAAAAGAGCAACTAAACCAATCATGTTCAGGTACGAGATCACGTGACTGCACTAGCTGCCCATGTGATTTAAGGCTACGTGTACAACAGATAAAGGGTGTAGACCTTTGTGCACCGTCATTCATCTATCTGACTTATCGATAGACAACACTCGAGCAGCCATGGCCAAAACAGCTTCTACATTGGTGGTATTTCTTGTATGCCTTTTCCTGGTGGCAGGTCAGTTCAACTTTAAGTTACAGTTTATTTATCACTTGCTTTTTTCACAAATGAGCAACAAGGTAAAAACCGAGACCCTGTTCCTGATCCAACAGAAAAGGAAAGTTTATATGTCCAGGGATCGGCGGATTTCAAAAAAAATTTGGTCCGGACTACGATAAAAAACTTTAACAGATTCAGGTGGATCCTGTACTTATCGGATTGCGGATTTATCCGTGTCAGTTTTTTTTCTTTTGTTTGTTTGTTTTTGGTCCGGATTTCAGTTTTTGCTGGTTATAGAGATCGGATCGTGGATCTAAACCACAAAAGTGTTAAAAGCTACAATCACTTACAAGAGAAAGGTTAAATTGTTTATTATAGGATATTTGGATTTGAGCAAATTTTCGTGCGGATCGACGGATTCGGATATTAATTTTAACGGATCGACGGATTTGCATACCCCTATTCAACCCCTTCCAGAAACGTTGTTAAGAAAATTGAAGAGAATGATAACCAATAAAATTAGCATTTATGCTCGGACGACTGTGCAAAAGAGTTGTCTTTCTTTTCTTTTTTTTTTTTTTTTGCAAACAGATGCGAACCATCTTAGGCTGCGTTCATAATGTATGGCAATTGCTTGGGGGCAGGGGCAGGTAAAAATTTGAAATTTCCAGAATAATTCTCAACACCACCTCTTAAAGTCATGCGAAAAAAATACGATCCCCCATAAGCAAGGCTTGTAGCGTCTTCCAAAAATTGTGCACCCCCCCCCTATTTTTCTGATATAGAAATTCGCCCATCCCCCCTTTTCTTCCTACCAAAATTTTCCCGATCCCCCCTCAATTTCACTTGCCCCCCCTCCGATCCTCTGCCATGCATTATGAACGCAGCCTTAGTATTTCTAGAAAAAAAACCGTCTACTAATTTTTTAAATACAGGTTTAAGACTTGAAATAATCATAGTTAATGGAGCGGAATTGTTGGGAAACCTATTGTTCTAGGTTTTTGTTCGACTTTATCCATTATTATATGACGTTGACCCTGCACAGAGAAGGAAAAGTTGCTTCATTTGTTCACAGTATTCTGGAATATATTTTTTCCCTAAAAAATCGTTTTATGATAATTATTATTCGTTAATTAATCCTATATGATTAATATTAATTGTTTATTGAAAAGGGAATTGCCTTTTTTCATGTTTTTTTTATTTATCATCTAGTAACTTACAGTGCGAATCGAAATACCGTGGGCGGAAAAATTTATTCGCATGGTTTTTTGTGATGGTACGGTTCAACCTCAAACGCAAAACAATGGCTTTGTTCTATGGAGTTTCCAAACCATTCCACT